TAAGACTTTTGAGGCAGGACCTCACCTGCAGTTTTTAAACTAAGGCTTCTAGGCACTGTTGTAATGAATGTGTATATATATATATGTACATACATATATATATATAAAAATGATCAAAGTCTGGGCAAGTCTGCGTTGTGTAACTGGAGCGTGGTGCAGAAATCCCTGAGGCAATGCTGACCCGACACGGCAAATTGCCACAGCACAACTGGCCTCCTGTGGGCTGCTCCTGTGCGAGCCCGCTGGGTCTGGAGGCCATAGAAAGCCAAGAGATGAGTTCCTTTGCTCCAGCCCAACTCTATATACTTACAGCTTTACTTTTTCCATACCAGAGCTAACTAAAGTAGAACAAATTGAGTTGTGGTGAAGGTATTCTTGTTGACCTTGTATGAATGCTATGTGCAAGAGAGTAAGGAGCAGGAGAGAGGTCATGGTAAGACCTACTGACCCAGAGTGCTTTACCATAATAGAAAACATACTGCAGTGATGCTTTAAATAGTGTCAGTTCTCCTGCACATAGCCCTGAATGGTGTAGGTCAGTATGAACCAAATCCCAGGAGGCCTCAGCAGCAAATTGTCATCTGTGGAAACTGTCCTTGAAGACTAGAAGTAAAGGGAAGCCTAGTCTTCTAATAGATGGATGTAGCGTTTAGTCATCAGACAGTCTAGAAAACTGGGTCAGATGGGTGTTGCATCATAGCAGACAGAATATTTGGTATTAATCAAAAGGCATATAGTGAAGTATATATTGTAGATATTTGATTACATTAGTGGCATTATCTTTAATCATTGGGTAGAGTCATATGATGGAACATGATCGAGTCATCGTTGCTTAGCAGGGTACCGCCCATCTGTTTAAATGTTAGTAAGGATGACTCATGGTGTTAGCGGGACCTTGCAGAGGGAGGGGAGCCAACGTGGTCAGTCGCAGCAGCTTGGCTAACACGTGGTATTTTACTAAGCCACTGTAATGCTATCCATCCAGGCTACACATGCCCAAAGAGATAGTGTACAAGTGCTGACTGAGACCCCATCATGTCTAACAGCAGGGTCCTGCTGGAACACAGTGAAAGTTCTTAGATTTGGGAAAAAACACACCGATAGACAGATTTTCAGAGAGGTTGAGCCCTTGCCAGTTCTCTATCTTATCTGTCCTTTGTTTGTGGGCTGTTTGCCCAATAACCCTGTTTATTTAGGAACACAGGTGCCAAGGAATTAAAATCCCTCAGTCAGCAATATTAACTGACAGGCTTCAGGCAGCACCTCATCAGCGTTTACGAAGAGAGGAGCAGAGTCAACGTGTACAACATTAAAAATAACAATTATAAACTCTCACTGACTTTCTTTGCTGCAGGATAGAAAGCAACAACAAAAGAGATTGTGTTGTCCTTGGAAAGAGAAGAAATGTCTTAAGACAAATTGAGTAGCTCAGCTTGCATGGTTCTGTGCCACACATGTTCCCTGAGCTCTGTGTAAGAAAGCGTGCACGAGCACATGCTAATGGATGACCTGTGTTCAATGTGGAAGCAATAGAAGTATCCCTGAGCACTGGCCAATGTCAGCTTTCCCCAGTGGGGAGCAGGATCTGGTGTGCATTATGTAGCACTTTTACTGGTGGCAGGAGTGGTGCAGACTTCTTGACAAAGAGGGTCAACCTTGAAGCACAAGGTTTCTCTGACTGCTCTGCACCTCTTTGCAAAAACACACTTGGGAACAGGCTAGCAAGAGTGTAGCAAGAAAAAATATGTGAAGTACTGAGGATATCTTTCCTCTAGCTAAGTGTAAAGCATATACAGACCCCTAAACTGAAGGAGCATTAAAGGTGAAACTGGGGACAGCGAGGAAGCTTCTTTTCCATTTTAATAAATACCAATAATTCCCTTTTGCCCAAGTCCCATATTCCCAAACTCATTAAAGCAATTTTGGAAATTTTTTTTGCTCTGAAACATATAAGCAAGACTCAAACCGTGCAGTCCTTTGAGAATCTCTTGCACAAAATGCATAGGTCAGGCCAAAATAAGTTTCTGTCAAACAACCTAACACCTGAGCTTATTATGAAACTGATGAATTGTACAAAGGGTCTGTGTGTGGGACAGTGTCAGAATGAACAAAGAGGAGGGGGCTGTTGTCATGTTGCTTGTTTTACTTTGGTCCAACTGAAAACTCACGTGGTGCTTTTATTGAATGCATTGCTCCTGTTCGCCCGCATGGTCTCCGTAGGCTGCGTCTAAGCCAGTGGGCCCAGAGGGCTCTAGATCTCCGGACATCAGCTTGTCTCAGGACAGGGGTGGGAGTTCATCAGTGCTTTCTCCTTTCCTGCCCACTCCTCCCTGCCCACACTCCTGGGAGGAGACCCAGAGTGTGATCTTGGCAGGGCTGCAGCACACTCTGTTCTGCTCCGCAGCCCCCACAGCCTGGGGGTCTCAGCCCTTCTATCTGGTGTCTGTGGCACAGACTTTATGACTTAGAGAAGACCTCTCTGAGCTTGTGGTCTGCTGCTCTCTGCAGGACTGTAGCTGGGGTGAAGCTGGGCTGGTGGGAAGTGGACTCTCTTTGTGGGGGTCACCACAGCCTCTGGAAACCAAACTGAGATCGTTCTTGTTGCATTCAGCCTTGTATTTCCTCACTTTTTTCTTTTCGAAGGATCACTGAATCTGCTTTTTGTGCTATTTTTGACCCTGTACCAACGATTTGTGAGTGTAGAATGAGTGCTGGTACATGGAGCAGCTGTGTTTTAAGTGGAGAGTAGGATGGGTCAGGGACAATGTACTTTATTTTCTGATCTCAATTTTCCTGCACTACATCCATTCCACTTACACCATCTCCATAGCTCCCCAGGTTTAGCTTTGTGCTGAGCTGACCATAGAGTCCCCTATCCCAGAAGCTGATTCATGCTTCCCCACAGCTCTTCTTGCACCCTCTCAGGGTTACACCACATATTTGGGAGACATTGTCATAAGTTTCTCTGGAGGGATACGAAGATGTAAACTACATCATATTCCTCCATCAGTAGATAACCAGACAGACACAGGAAGAGCTTTTTGTTTGTATCCAAGATACATTTGTTGTTGTTTTGTTTGTGTTTTATTTCTTCCTTCTGAATAAGTACTGTATGTGTCTGGGAGGATTTTTAAAACATCCCTCTAAACACAGGCTTGGAGAACCAAGACAAAAGGATGGGTTCAGTCATGTGCAGCTGGTAAAAAGAGGGCAGCTGAGGGCAGTGGAGTGGAAGGAGCAGGGGTGTCCTTATGAGGGAGTGGGCAGAGCAAGGACTTGGAGGTGACATTTGTTGGGACTGAAGTGTTTCTCGAGGGGAACGGGATTGAAGAGAGGGCTGAAGGACTGCAAGTCCAAGGATGGTAAGTACTGGGGAGTTTTAGGGAAGAGACTTGTAGGTCAGAAGAACCTGGTGTTGCCATGAGACAAGCACCTCTGCTTTGGGAGTCTGGATGAGGTGTCCTCCATACGGGATGTCTATGAAACCTATTGCTCACAGCCTTTGGCGTCTTTGCTTGTTATTAGATAAGTGGAAGTGATAGCTAGAGTTAGAGGAGGAGTGTAGCTATTCGTGATTGCCAGTATCGCTTACAGTTGGAGGGGCAAGAAGTAAAGCCCCGTCATTTGGTGTGACACGGTTCAGACCAAGTGGGAGAAGTTACTGTGTTCCCCCTTGCAGCGCTGAGGTTATGACTCTGCTTCCCTGAACAGCCGAACTTGATTTTGAGGCTTGCATGTCTAGCTGTGTATTCATCGCTGAAGCAAAGGATGCTTCTGCCAAGGCTGAAGATCAACCCTGATGTTTAGAGGCTCCGAACATCTTTAGACTATTTCCAGGCTCCCCCCTGCAGAGGCTCTTCAAGCACCTGGACTACGCTCCCTTCTCTCCAGTCCTTCTCATACCTTTAGGGGTATCTCTCCTGCCTAATAAACAGTGTAAACCATGTACTATACTGCAGAGCATCCTGGTTTGTGAGGATTTAATGTACTAACTTGTTCTAGCAATGTTTGTTGAGGCACTGTATGTGAAAGCTTTCTTATTTTCATGCTTTTTGAAAAGGTAACAAATTGTATTTACCCCAAACTTCAAGCAACTCATACATGCTTCAGAACTTTTTTTTTTTTAAAAAAAGGTGATAAATCTAACTAATTCCCAAGACCACATTCTTAAAGGCTATTTTCAAAGAGTAGTCCCTGTTTTGTTTAATTCATTAATTTTATGATTCTTCTATGTGAGTGGGCTTGCTTTCTCACGTGCACTCTTTTCCCTCTGCTGTACTTAGAAAAATCCTTCTAAATCTTTTAAACTCCTTTTGCCAGAGTAACTCACTCTGATTTTTTATAGTCCATACTTTTTGCCTTTACAAGCTGTTTGATCTAAATGTAATTTTGCTAATTTTTTATTATTTTTTTCCCCTGTTTTCTGTGCCCTGGTGACATGCTAACTGGTAATGTCAGGACCTTCTTTCTGGGACTAAGGCTTGGTAGAGTTCCACAGAAGAGAATATCCAGTGAGATGAAATACTCGTTTTCAAGTAATTTATTTACAGATGATAAAATCTTAAAATTAATTTAAGTGTGTTTCATTTTCTGTCATAATCTGCAAAACTATCATCCAGATATTTTTGTTCCCAAGGGCTGAATTTACAGCAATGCACTGATGTGGTACGCCAGGAAACTTTCCTGCATTCTCTGTAGAAATCTTTTGCTGGACACAATGAGATGCAGAGGTGTGTAGACTGAGACCAGCTGTTACATTTACATTCATGTTCTAGCAGATGAACAGTACTGGTGCTTTAACCGATGAATAGGAGAGGGAAGGTGATTCATCTGTTTCTTGAAAACTTTCTGTTCTACTGATTTATGCAGGAGAGGACAAATGCTGGACTGGCTTATCTGCGCCTGCTTGTCTAGAGTTGCCTGTGCCTAGCAATGGCTGGCACGGGAGGGACTGTTTTGGTCTCCGTAGCCCTTGACAGCTTTCTTTCCTTTTCTCCTAGGCCTGTCCCAGGTTCTCTGTCTTCACTACTGCACCTACACAACCGACAAAGACAGCCTATGCCCGCCTCTATGCCTGGCACCCTGCCCAACCCTACCATGCCTGGATCTTCTGCTGTACTCATGCCTGTAAGTTGTTTTTTTTTAGTTTGGGCTTAGTTATTTTATGGGGGGGAAGGAAGGTTAGGTTTTTTTTTCTCTCAATTCAACCTATGCAGAGGTGAAAGTCTTCTGTATTTTTCTAAAAAATTCAAGTGTAATGAGTTAAGGAAGCTGGACCTTTTTCGCTGCTTCATCTTACACAGGAGTATTTCTGGTGCATTTAATGGCATGTTAATTAGCGTGAGAGTGATTAGAAACAGTTTACATGAGACTACAGTTTCTGATTCACTTGGAGCCATGTAGGTGAGATCAGTATGTCTGTTCTCGAACGAAAAGATTTTTCTCAAGTTAGGCAAAACTGGAAAAGCTGTGTACATAATTTCTGCCAATGAACTCTAAGTAATCCTCTTGTTTGTGGGAGATAACCAGCTAGCAAAAAAAGAAATGTGACTTACTTTTCTGGCCTGGTAACTTGCACTTAATTAAAATTTGGTCATCATCACTGCTCATCCTCCACTCATTTCTGCAGAGATGGGAGTATTTCCCAGCTTCTGGGAGACAAAGGGTTGCTTTGCAATTGTAGCTTCAAATTTTTCAAATTTTAACAACACTTTCAGTATAAAACACTTAAGCAGATTGGGAGTGGAGATGAGTAAAGATGGCACAGGGAAGAGGGGATTGGGAAAGGGGAAGCTTCTGTTTCATTCCACGATGTTCAGTTTGGAAGGCAACCAGGGAGCAACCGAGTACAGGAGGGAGAAAAGCACCACTTGTTCTGGCTTTGCTGGAGCAAGGGGGACAGTCCACCGGGCTACAAAGATTCAGGTTTGGCTGCTATTTGAGCAATTATTAATAAGTTATTAATCAGTAACTTGTCAGTAAGGCTTTTCTGGAATATCGACCAGGAAGTTCAACAACAACAAAAAAAAGACTTGTCACTGTGGGTAGGTTTTTTTTCTGGCATGATTCCTAAGGAACCTAAAACGGAGCAAACATCCTGCTTCAGTGTAATCTCAGGGGCTTGGGGTCGCTGCTGGGGAGCCCTCTGGGCAGCTCTGCTTGCAGACAAGCAGGTGTGCTCTGGCTGAGAGCCCCGGAGAAGTGAGCACGGAGGTGAGACAGGCCCCCGTCAGTGCTGGCTGCCCGGGCTGTGGCCCCTGCCCCACTGCCCTCCTGAAGAGGTTGCAGAGGAGGTGCCAGTGGGAGCTGCTCCTGCCCCATGGAGAGGGTGAGAGGCAGCTTCTCCCTGCTAGCAGAGCATGGGATATTGTCCTCTCCTCCAGGCCCAGCACTCATTCTTGCTGGAATCACGGAGGCTGGGTGCCAGTACCTCACCACGTGGCACAAAAAATAGGTCCCTTGCTATGGGGAGCTCAGGAGGAGCCAAAAGCTTCTCTTATGAGCCAAAGATTCAGGGGACTGGCTGAAAGCAAGGCAGGATGCTCAGCTCTGGTTGAAAGCAGCACCATAACCAAATTTATCACCCTTACCAGTGACTAGCAGTCTAATGGGGCTTGCCTCTTTTCCCAGAAATTAGTTTATCCAGGCCTTACTGCCATTAGGTTTTGTGTGAGAATTGTATCCCTCCCTCCCAGGCTAGAGATACTAGCTTGCAGGAAGGGGTCTGAATAGCCAGGAGGAGTTCTGCTTTGTTTTTTGCTATCTCAGCAGTACATGAAAGCTTCCCTTATGAGACATATGGAAAACTCTTCTCAGATGAGCAGTCCGAGTGAACTCGTTTTCCACATACTCGAGGTTGTAGATTTTTATTTATGTTTTTAACAAGCTAAGTTGGGCTGCACTGACAGGGGAAGACACAACTTTATACAGTGATGCTTTTAAAAGCACTTAACTCCGAGTGTTGTTATACTGAAAGGGAGAAAATCATTACAAAAAAGCGCAAACCTGGGTGGCTGCTACATTTGTTTAGTAAAGAACCCTTTTCTGTATAATTGGCTGTGAGTTTTCAGGGCCGATTCTGATGAAACACACGCCTGCATGCATACACACATGCAATTCACGACACAGATTGTTATTTTTCCAGTCATGACTTGAAGAAATAAAGCTGAGTCCATTTAAATAGAAACTGAGTGTAAATTCTTGCAAATGTCTCCAGACATTTTCAACGCCCTTTTTTTTTTTTTTTCTGTTAAAAGATGGAGCGACAAATGTCAATGAACTCCAACATCATGGGGATGCAGGGGCCGAACCTCAATAATCCATGTGCTTCACCTCAAGTACCCCCAATGCATTCGGAAGCCAAAATGGTAAAGAGAGAAAATTTTAAAAACATATATTTTATTTCTTGCATTGTTCTTGCCTACTTATTGCCGAGACAGTGGGGGATGTAGCCAGACACTGCTTACTTCATTCTTAGTCATGTATTATACTCTACTTTAATATGCTCCAGTAAATTGCTTTTGTGTCTATGGACTTTCACGATGTTCCTAGTCCCAGCTGAACTCTCAGTGAGAGGGAACTGAAGTGAAGGGTGGGCTATTTGATCTGTACTGTGTTAAGTAGGAATTTTGGTGCAAAGTAGTAGAATTTAAGAAAATGGTCTGGCTGGTTTTCTGATGGTGTCTGTGCTTCACAACTGGGCTTAAAGAAATTTGTCAGTTAATAAAGAGTGAAGTAAAAAGCGTCTGATGTGGAAGGAATGTACGCAGTCTTTGTTTTCTCCGGAGAGATGCATGGTGTGTCAGGGTAATAGCAATGTTAGAAAAGCAGACCAAGCAGTGCATATAAAACTGAGATATTTTCTTTTATTTGAGTGCAACAAAGGTGTTGCTGTCAAAAAGAAGAATCAGAATTTGGACAAATACAATGTATTTATACGAGTCAAATGTCAAGTTGTTGTATGTCTTACAAGGTTAGGGCTTCTCAGGCCTATGTACTGTTATAGGATTAATGTAGGTAATCTAAGCTATGAGTGGGCATTTGTGAGATTTCCCCGGCTTTATAGGCATTCCCATGGAGGTATTTGGCACTAATGTCCCTGGAACCAAGTTTATCAATGTAGATGTAGTTTTAGAACTGCTGTTTGCTGGCTAGTGGAAATTCGAGGACAGAAGTTTGTAGTTTAACTCTGTAAGGTTTTTATCCTCTCAAGATACCTCATCATAGTGGAAAACAGGAGTAACTTCCTTGAACTTTTCTCAGTGGCATTTTGCCAAGGTAAAATTGTCATAAGTGAGAGAATGAAATCAAGCCGACAAAGATTAAACAACCACATGTTTTTATATATTTCTACTTTGCATGACTGGTACAGCGTTTGAAGTGTTGTCATCTATCCTGAGGCAAAGAAAAATATCTTCTTGTCTATAGATATGATGCGTGCAAGACACTCTGGGTTAAAAGCAACAACATATGCAAGCTTATTCTATCTGTTTTCTTAGGTTGGACAGGTCATGCCTTCGCCTCATTGTTGGTCTGGTTTAGGCTGTTAACTCAACCTCTGTTAACACTCCATCTAAAACCACACTCCGTAAACATGCAGCCAGTTGGCCAGAAGAAGAGCGATAGCCAAAAACGCTGGGTCCCCCAGCCAAGGAAAACCTGTGGTCAAGAGTTCTCTCTCTGCTGTACCACACAGTGACGGTGACATGCCAAATGGCAACAGCATCTGCAGCAGAGGTTGTTAAAATCTTTTTGGAATAGGCAAGTGTTTTTTCAATGCAAGAGGGGCTGAGCCAAGCTAAATACTCCTTGGCTGAATAAATCTAAAACTGGCATCTGTTTGGGGGACTAAAGGTTCTGTAGTTTACTCTCCTCCTGCACCCCCTGCCTTTTTTATTTTTTTTTACTGGAAGTGTGAGGCTGCTTTAGAACAAGATTAAATTATTGTTGCGCATGGTGAGAATTTTGTACTTTAATAGGTGAAACTGTACGTTAATACAAATTACTTTTTAATCTGAATAGGCGGGTTTTGTCTGTAAACCTAACGTATGAAGGCACGGTTCTTTCAGACAGAAAGTGCTATCGGTTCCAAAACACAGTATAGCGAATGAGCAGTGCCTTTGCTTCTCAGGGGCTTTCTGCCACTCTTCCAGAGGTGGAAAAAGTCAACACACATTAACTCTTAAGAGTAAGAGGTATAATTCAGATTTCCAGGACCTTTTTTCTTTTCAAATGCAGGAGCTTTTTAATGGTCTATGTTCTAGTTTTATGCTTCTTTTCTGTTCAAGCACACATGTATTTTAAAAAGACTCTTCGTTTAGCCACTGCTTTGAGGAATTGAAATATTAGCAATACTCTGCATGAACGCAAAGTGGAAAAAATGTAAGAAATATTGAGAGGAAAATTATTTCTTACATGTAAGTTCATGAATTTTAAATCTGAATCATCTGTATTACAGGCACGTTTGTTTTTATTATTAACTATTTCACTCTGCTTCGTGCTCAAAGCATGAGACTGCATACTCTGGCAGCTTTTTAAAATGAGTTGAAAACGAGGATGCTTAATACCTTACCGGATTGTTCCTGCATTAGGGAGGAATTTCAGATTTCCCCAGATTCTGCTAATGCTATTTCTGCTGGTGCATCCAACACTGCTTACGTTCGCTTTGGCTGGCCCCGCTCTGCGAAGAATATGGGTTGAACACTGGCAGGGTCATCTAAGCTGCTTGCAGCTAATGTCTGCAGTAACTGGAGAAGTCTGGGGGACTTTGGGGCTGATTCATCAACCATCCAAATCTATAGCATTTTCTTTGTGCCTGCATGAGAGAATGCAGGACAGGCTCCTCTGGATGTGAGACCCAGATGTGAGACCAAATCCTTCTGGCCTCCTGAAAGCATGTACTTGAGCAGTGCAAGCAGGATTTAGTATACAGCAGTCATAACACTGCCTGGTGACACATGTGACTTAATTTGCTTCTGTAAAATAAATATGAATAAATAATATCAGTATGGATGCTTTGTGATGCCAGTTTTTTCAAAGAAAGCAGATAGATGGCAAAAAAAGATTCACACCCTTGATAGGTTCTTAATCAGTTTGTAGGAGGAAGTCGAAGCCAGTCTGATAAATACATACATTGTCTGATATACAAGCACATCTGCAGACACATATAGAATGTGTTGCATTAATATTATGTTTCTGTAATGAGTAATTTATTTATCTATAAGTATTTTAATCAGCGTGTGTTGCCTGGCATTTATAGAGAGCCACATTGCCACACAGGATGCTTGTTTCTTGGTTTAATTTTTTTACGAGAAGGTTGCTGCAGATATTAAAGGATTGTAGATGACAACCCAGAACTGATTTATCACAACAATCTCAGTTTCCCTTGCAGTGTGCCTCTCAATTAGGTTATCACCTAATGCTTTAAAACTGTCCTAGTAAATGAACGAGTGAACATCTAAATCAATACTGCTTTCTTCTTAGGTTCAGAGCTGAGTGGATAAAACCTTTATGCTGCCCACCAAAAACATACATTAATTTTGTATTAAAATATATTGTGTTGGAAGGGGGAGGAAACATACAGCTCTAAGTGTACATGGTAAAAATATGCAGAATAGAATGTGTAGCGTATCAACATGTGGCTCAATAAACTGAGTATATTATGAACTCGGAATTGTTGGTGCTGCCTTTGCCTTAATATACTGCTTACATACAGTTTGGTTTTGCAGTTTCAGAGTATTCAAGGTTTTATAACTCAAAAGTGTGATACCATGTGGATTACTGGAGTGAAAGATAGATAGTGTACACTGAACTTCTGAAAAGCTGCGTGACAGCAGGTCTTTTTAGTGGAGCTGATGCCTCTCTGTCTGAATTTTGCAAGGCATTGATCTTTACCTGTAGAGATTTATGAGCTCTGAAAGGACATATAAAAAGCAAGCTGGCATTGAAAATAATTGAACTTAAACATACAGTTTTCAATTTTACTTGTTATTTTTTTCTTTTAGTGTCTCCATCTGCCCCTTTCTGGATACGTAGTTTTATAAAATTTAAATAAAATTTAATATGTGTGGCTTGGCAGTGCCTGCCTTCCTGACAGAATCTGTATGACTCTTTAAAAAAGAAAAGAAATTATTTCCATACCAGAAGTATGTAGAGTTGTGGGATATTGTTTTTGCCTTGTATGCATTACAGATATAATCAGATATAAGAGTGAAAACATAACCAGAAAAGAAAAATAATAAACCAGTAATGAGCATGTTCCTAATTGTAATGGTAAAATATCCATATTAACTGAACTTCATAATTTACCTAAAAATGCTGGATGGCTTTGATGGAGGACGAGAGAGGTGAAAGAAATTTTGGTTAGCCAGTTGTCATCAGCACTGGTTTTTATTGACTTAATGAGAGTTAAGCGTCCAGATCCTACGTGTGGCTGTGAAAATCCCAGTCCAAGCATGGCTCACCTCTCCATCCCAGTGGAAAGACAGGACTGGCTGCAGGGACTGGGATGCATTTGGTACGCTGGGTAGACAGGCACCACTCACCTTCTCCAGAAATGCAGCACATCAGCCAAGGGGGAAAGACTCGGCTGCAAAGGTGGACGGGTTTTCTTGGTTTAATCCTCTGCTTCCAGATGGGGTCTTCTGCTGCTTCTTGTTTTACAAATAAGATGCATTTCCGTGCCTGGGAGCTGTGATGATGCAAGTGCTACAAAGCGAGAAGCAGCTAGAGTAAGCTCTTATCCCCAGCCCCAGTTTGGTACCCGGCTCCGCTGTTGCAGCAGCCATTGGATGCAGAAAGAAGAGCCCTTCCCTAAGAGGAGCGGCATGCTGGGACAACTGGTGGCCTTGGGAAGGACATCCTGCTGGCTACCAGCTCTGGGCCCAGGTCTATGAGGTTTCCACACTGGTTTCAGGCAGGAGGCTGGCGTAGGCAGTCCAGGCGGGATCAGTGCTACTGAACTCTAGGTTTAGTTACTTAGCATTTCATGACTGAAGATGTTTTGTTAAATGTAATAATAAGCGATTGGAAGTCAGTATTTTCCTATTGAGCTGGCTGGGAAAGGAGTCTCTTTAGCAGAGCAATTCATGTTGCTTCATGGCCAGAAATATTTTCTTCGCATGGATTCTGGACTACTGAGCAGAAAGAAGAACGGTGCATCTCTGCAGAGCTTTCAACAGCAACTGCTCGTTTTGTCCTTCACAAAACAGTAACAAAAGGAGCATAGGAAAAAAAAACAAGATGTGCAGAATGAAGCCTTCCAATTACAAAAAAAAAAAAAAGAGCTGCGGCAAAACTTCCTGTATCGGTAACTGAGAAATGTTTTCAAGGAAGGGACTGTTAAACAGTTAAAAAACACAGGGCTTCT